AAAAAAAGAAAAAAAAGGTTCATGAATAGAGCGCCCGCAATTTTATGCACGCAGCCAGACCCGCTGGTACCATCAAACCCAAGACCAGCGCAAGCGAGAAGCGGTGCCAACGGCCAGCCATGCTCCTTTTCCCACCAAAGCGGTCAGTCTGCGCGAACAAATGCCAATCACCGCCTGCCTGGCCTAAAATCTGGAAGCTACTCAAGCAGCTCCTGGGATGGGATGGGAAACCCATGGAAAGCGAGAAGAAGCAAGGAAACAAAACCCCGACGCGCACTGCAAGCCACCAACCCAAGTGCAGGGGCGCCTCCCGCAGTCAGTCTAGTGATCGGGTGCGTTCCCACCCGAGTTCGCCGGATCAATCACAACGCTCCCCTCGCTCCACCATCACACCCTATCCTCAGCTCCTTCGTTCCTGAGTGGCGCGTGCCGCTCATCTAATCCCTCTGATGACTCTTTCTCCATGACGGGGGCATCGAGGAAAGTCAAGGCTTGTGCGCCCAAGCGACTACCACGGGCATCCCGAACTCTGTGGTAGAAGCCGGGCCATAAACCCCAGTGCACACGGCTGGCTAGCTGGCTGGGCGGGGCGGAATTTCCACCTTGGGCCTGTTGTGATTTTTTAGGCCGAGTTTGGAGTGGCTTGTTTTTGTTTGGCGTGGCAAGGACTGGCGACATGGCCATCCTCTAGGCAGCCACCCGGGCCACAATAAAGGGTGGCGCCGTGGCGGTGACACTCCCTGCTCTCCCTCACCACGCGCGTCAAACAGCCAAAGACGCCACGAGAGCTTGTCGCAGTGAGAAGAGGCAGCTGCTGGCCATCCTCGAGGACCTCGACCAGGCCGCCGCAAGTCGAGGGCAAAGACTCCCGAGGCCAGTTCTGAATGAGACTCTCACAGCAATTTGCCAAGAGATGGAAGTGTAGCTGCCACCTAGAGGCCTCAGTGGATGACGACGTCGAACTTGTTCTCGCGCTTCTTTGTTCTCTTGGCACGCAGGTACCGCCTCCTCCAGCAAAGGCAGCTGGCCCCAGCTAGGAGTAGAACGACCAGGGTCACGACAATTCCGACCGCCAGGGATATCGTCTTGTTGCTGGGCCTGCCGCTCCCGCCACTATCGCTTGCGGGGCTGGGCAGGGCTGCCCCTGGATTCCCCTGTCAACGGAAGGGGTCAGCTGAGGGTCGGAGGAAATCCCCGACGAAGCTGGACTTGGAGATCGGGATGATCCTGCCAAGGCTTTGGCGTAGAGGCGGGTTTCATCCCGTGAGATGTGGACAAGAGATGGTAAAACTTACAGTGGGCTGAAGGCTCTTGACTTTCATGATTGAAAAGTATGGCGACTTTGGCAATAGCGGCGGTGCACTCCCTGCTGTCGTGTTCGCCCGTGCCTCGGTCCTAATCTCGACTTGATACTGTCCCGTCGCGAGGTATGGCAGCGGCGAGGGCATGCTTTTCCACACCCATGATGTGCCTTGGATTCCCACTAGATGTCGGATGCGCGTCAGCAACTGTCTGCCTTGTGTCTTCACACCTGACCGCTTGTTTCTGGCATACCTGCCAAGTCCCTCCTGAAGACGTTGGCGCGGTTCTCGTCGCCGGTGCGGTTGACGACGACGGCGTGGATGGTCAGGGGCGCGTAGCGGACGTCGATGCCACCCCATTCCAGTGCTAGGTCGGCGTCCTTGGTGAGGCCACTGAAGGTCTGTGTGAACTCGGCGGCATGGCCCGGTGCGGTGAGCTGCAGAAAGAAGACGGTGGCGAGGAGGGGTATCGGTCCGAAATGGCAGCGACCGTGTGAGGCCGAAGAGCCTCTGTATCTGCTCCTTTTCGAATTTTCGGCTCGATTTCTTGCCATCGTGTCCCTGTGGTCCTCGGCCATCTCCATCCCTGATATGCGTATCGTTTACGACTCGAGATGGGCAGCCTGACAAACGAAAAATATGAGCAGTCAGTGCGACCGAGAAGAGAGACGCAAGAACAAATTAAGCTGAAGCAAATATGGGCCTGAGAACGTGTGCATGTTGCCGCGGGACGAAATGGGTTTTTTTTTTCAGGCGGCCAGACGCCCGCATATTGAGTGGCCTGGTTCCGACATCAATGAATCCCGTCCAGGCGGCCCGATAAATCACCTGCCAATATGCATGGCTAAAATCGAGGGCAGCCGGCGCCGCCGCAGTAACGGGATAGACTCAGACGGAGAACGCACTGAAAGACCTGAACTTGACATCCATGGCCGAACGCTATCGGATGAGCCTGACGACTGCAAGACTCCGAGCGCCGAGCCGCACCACATTCTTGATTCTATCAATAAGTCCATGGCCGACATGCCCTTCCCATTGGTATTTGGGGCAGTGATACGATTTGGACATGGACTGCTGCTCGCTTGACAGCTCTTTGCGGTGGCGGGGTAGGACAAGCAAAGAAGGTAGGTGCTTGGCCGATTTAGGATAAATGGGGAAAAGAAGGCGACAAGACTCGGGAGGCGCCCAAAGGATTGAGTGCCAAGTATATTTAGATTGACAGGTTCCGGCCGCCGGCACGGTATTTAGCCAGTAATATGCGTGGGGCCGTTGGAGTCGTCTTCTTTGGCATGAGCCTCGGTCTTGGTGGTGGTTTTGATCACATTATGTTGGTATGGGACATCAACATAAGAGTATATCTCTTGACCTTCTATATGCGAACCTTGGACTGTGCTCTACGGACCGGCCATGTTTGATGGCACAAAAAGAAAGGAATGAACGAAGCAGGGACCATGTTCCGACTTGCGAGACATCCCCTGCTTGCGAGCACGCGCCTGGACATGCATTTATTGCGAAGCGTTCTGGGAGCCCGGCGATGATCTACGGACTGCGACATCACGATTCTGCTCTTGCGTACGAAGCAAGCGAGAATAGAAATAAAGGTTGAGAAAAAAATCACCACTTTCGATCCCATCCTGCGCGCCGGCACTTTTGGCCCCTCGGGCTAGTGAGCATCGAGCTTGTGCGGATTCGTACCCCATATCGGCCTATCTCGAGCTAAGGAGCAACGGCCCCCATCGAGACTTGAAAGGGCGAGCTGATCGGCGAGACTTTGGACTTGGCCTCCCTTCTGATGTTTTGAACTCATCGACAACCTAATGACCATCACGCCATAGTAATAGAATCCTAGAGGAATTGGGCCCAAAGGCCGGAACAAGGCCCCAAAACAGGCGGGAAAAAGATGCTGCCAACTCGTCCCCATCACACGAGCGCCCAGCGCTCGAGTGACGCCCTCCCCTCCTCCACGTCGGCCATGCCCTCCCCGCCCATAATTCCGTGCACGTACGAGTCCCCGACCAAGCTGAATCCCCTAACCTTGCCGCTGTCCGGGAGAAGGACCTCTCGCGAGTCTCTGAGGATGTACGGGACCCGCCCGCCCGCGAGGAGGCATACCCGGTCTCCTACCCTGGCCGTTGATGGTGCGAGCCCGAAATAGCCTTTTTCCGAAATGAAAAAAGTTCGGCCAAACATGCATGCTTGAAGCATGTCCTGATAGGTGCGTACCAATGCACTGGTTCCTGCACTCATGCTTCCACTCCTCCAAAGCCCATTTCTTTTGCACACTTCTCCAAACCACCACGTATCGTAGCTGTATGCCCTCCAGCTGTTCGCCGCGATGAAGCGCCCTGAAGTGATCCATAAGTTCATGCATACTGTCCTGCGAAATGCGTCGATCCGGGTGCCGTTTCCCGCAAAGGGCGACATTGGGTCCTTGTCGACGCCTGAGAGAAGCCTCCATCTATGCAGTGCGTCAAACAGCTGTGGGTGTAACTCGGACTGAGACTCTCCGATTCCGGCGATAATGTCGAAGCAATGGCTAGATACTCCAAGACACCCGGACGGATCCCGATCGCTGATCGTAGCGCCACAGAATGTGCCGCTCGCTTTCCAGTTTTTTCCCATGAAGTCGCGAGCGACCGCCTCCCTGAACGCTACTTTTTCAAGTGCACGGGGCTCGTATCGTAATGTCCAGTTTGGTAACCAAGACGGTATGGAGGAGAGGTGGACGCTGGGCGCGTTTCGGTTCGGCCATCTTATCTCGGGGGTGGCGATTTGGTAGAAGTGGCAAAAAGACAGTACATCGAGGTGCTTGCTTGACAGTATACACTGCCGAGCTGCCGCTTCATACGTGGCTTCGATACTCAAAGTATAGTCCACCCAGTCGGTTTCGATGCCTCGGCAAAGCCCCAGGAAGGCATAAATTTTATCGCGCGGATCCGTTGAGTCTCTCCCGCGGAATAAGGCCGTGATATGTGAGAGAGGTATGAAAAGATTGCTTCCTTCTTTTTGCCTTTGCAGCACGCTGCTAAGGTGATTTAGATAGAGGGACGCCCAGAAGCCGGCAAAAAGAATGTCGGATAGTAGAACGCCATTGCAGATCGTGTTGACATTGCAGCATCGGCGGCTGTGGTGAGTCGTGTAGCTTGTTTTGACCTTTGCGATCGTCTCCCTTGTGATCCCTTCTTTTCCCAAAACATATACGAGAGCGGGAGTTATCTTGATCGTTGGTTTCGGTCCAAGCAACGAACTGGGTGGCCTGAGAGAATATCCTGCTCATTAAACAGATCTGGCGGCTTCGTTCGCTTATATCTGCTTGGTTGATACAAATAGCATCCACCCAAAGCATTCTGGGTTGGTCGTTGTGGCGAAGGCTCCGGAGAGCGCAGTATAGGTTCCGTGTAACCTCAAGCGGGACACCATCAACCATAATCTTGCCTGGAAGGTCGCAGGTTTGTCCCCAAACATACGAGAGCACTTCGTACGGCGGCAGCTGACTGTTTAGGCTGACCACAAGGAGCTGGGTCTCGAGTCTGCTCGTTTGCTGTCCAGTGAGCAGCTTGAGGAGGCGAATTCGGTGGGAGAAGTTACCCAAAGTCTTGTACATTGTGACGCGGTGGAGCTCGAGTAGGTTGCGACAATATTTTCTTCCAGAAAAGATGTGGTGCCGCTTTCAAACCATCTGGGTCGTTGTGGGAGTTCAGGGAATGAACGTCCAAGGGCCCCTCCCTACATTTGAGCCGGCTCACACATGTCCGCTAGCAGCTAGCAGCCTTTTCATTTGACCCCTCTGTGTGTATCCAACGTGGGGGCTTGGCTGGGTGAGTGTGTTTCGAGCACGAAGCCTAACTAAACCCGATAAGGAAGGCCGCGCGTGTTGGGCGGAAACTGGGCAGTGCTGCATGTCGCCCGGCTCCGCAGGCTGTTTCCCAGCCTTACCAAGACAGCCTTACCAAGACAGCCTTACCAAGACAGCCTTACCTTGACTCGTCCTGAGTTTCGCCTTCTCCTTTTGTGTGCAACCTTTGGTAACCAGCAATCCTGAATGCGAGGTTAGGCATGTGATTAAGTATTAAACCCATACCGCGTCTCAAGCGATCATTTATGCCGCACCTAGGCGGCAATTCGGGGCATCCTACCCGACGCAACGAGTTCGGTACATCTCGCGCGCAATGGCGACCCTCCATCTCGCCGCCCACTTCGGGATTATAAGGGTTGATGAAATCCTTCTCGTGAAGCTGGAGCACGATCAGGACGAGCTCTTACGGCTTGTTAACCTGGAAGTGGACCTATACGGCACACCACTATCGGAAGCTTCTCGAACCGGAAATGTGGACATGATAGACCTGCTGGTGTCACATGGGGCAGACATTAATGGGCGTGCACCCTCTAAAAACACCTTGCTAGTTCTCCACGAGGCTGTCCAAGACGATCAGCTAGCTGTCGCCGCCTCTCCTATCGGTCACGGAGCCGGCGTCGATGCAGAAGCGGTTGTAGATAGCTCCGCGCCAAGGCCAATCCTGATCGCAACCTACTATAAAGCGAGCGACTCGATGCTCGAGCTAGCACGGGGCCAACGTCAACTTCTCGACACCATTGGGTATAACACCGCTTTATTCAGCCATCGCCCTTAAAAGTTAGTCAAAGGCGGACTTGCTAATCAGTGGCGGAGCCGACGTCAACCGACGCGGAGAGGGAGGCAATATCCCCTTGATGATGGCTGTGGTTGGCAACAACATCGACCTCTCTCTCTCTCTCTCTCTCTCTCTCTCTCTCTCTCTCCTAAAGGCGGGGGCGGACATCAAGGAGCGAAACGACAAGGGGGAGACGGCACTCTTTCTCTCCACCAGGAGTGGGGGATTGGCCATGACCTCTGCCCTCATATCCGCTGGCGCCGACATGGACGCTCCTGGTATCCTGGGGCTGAAGTTGCAGACCACGATGGAGTCGCTGCCTTGTTGGCTATGGCGGGCGCGGGTGTTGAGGCTCTCGGTCAACTGCGCCGCGTTCGGCTGCCTAATGGCACCCTTCGTGAAGCGTTTCTTCGGCCGCCTGGCGAGGAAAGGCACGCTGCGAGGCTCGATCTCGCAGAATTCGATGTTGAAGGGCTCTTGGAAGGGAAGTGGTCGGTACTAGAGGTGGTTCGGTGTCATGAGCATGTACACTCACCCCAGCAGTAATCAGTCTAGCCAAGCATGTCGCGTACCACTTGGCCGTGTTCTGTCACATATATGCATCCGGGACTGCTGGGCTCCAACACACAAAGCCTTTGGGGGCTCACTTGAAAGTGCCGTACATTATCCTCTCCGCCGTTTTGTTCCACGAGATAGATGATACCGAAGTTTGGCTTGGGTTTCCAGGAACTCTTGAAACTCCATATATGCCAGCAGTAGAACTGACCGTGACTTGCTTTGCCATTCTCCGAGTACCGCCGTCATCTCTTAACCAAGATCATCACGGCAAGTAGATAGTCTCGGCACCACACCCCCCTCTCGGCTCGGCCCCTCAGCTCATGAGGCCTCCGCGTCCCCCACTCCGTCCGCGCAGCCTCGGGCGCGTCTCCTCCTGTCCTCGTCCGAAGCCTTCCAGCCCAGACCCTGGACAGAGTTTCTCGGGAGCCAAGACAGCCGGGGAGGAAGGTTTCCCGCGTGGAAGCTTCCTTGCCTCTTCTTTCCTTTGGCAAAGCGCGCGATCCTGCGCGGGCGCCGTGCGTGCAGGAGACGAAACGTCGGTATATGCAGACGCCATCCAACGGGGGGTGTGTGTGTATGTGTGTGTGTGTGTGTGTGTGTGTGTGTGTGTGTGTGTGTGTGTGTGCGTGGGAGAAGCCAAACCGTCGCCCACCGGCGGTTATCAGGATGGAGAATGTCCACATGGGCGCTGCAAGGCCAAGGCATGCGGGAAAAAGTTGAGGTGAAAGGGCCCGTACGCACGTCAAGTGCAACGCTCGAGTCAGGTTTCCCCCCGTTCCTTCCTTTGGCCCCATTGGCTCGCGAGAACGGGCAAGGTGCGCGGGAAGAGATGCGTTTATGGGACGAACCTTGGGAGATCTGCAGCTGGAGAGGGGCTGTATGCAGAGCACGGATGGAAAACGTCCCATCCCGACGGCCTGGGTTCGCACGACGGCCCCTGGCCCAATGTCAGCCATGCGCTGCCCTTGGAGGCGAAACTTTATTGGGCCAATTAACATTCTTGAGCACTTTGGCCAGCGACTAGGTAGCTGCCGTTGGTGGCCCCCTGCGTAGCAGCTGTCCAAGGACCAGGTTTCTTGCCGCTTGACATGGCAGCTGACGGGGAGTTGGATGCGAGACTGGGCAGGGAGCACCCTTGTTGTTGGACGCTTGCCCATCACCGTCCCGATCCCGACCCGGAAGCTTACCAGGACAATGGGAAGACCTGGGGGAACGGCCATGGTGTTCGAGTGACAACCCAAGTAGTGGATAACCTTGACCGCCCTCCAGGGCTGTCAAATCCGGGGAGTACCTGTTGATGCTGGTCCCGTAGTTTGTCAACCATCCGTCTGATCACGTCTTAGTGCCACCGGCCGAAAGGTGCAGGCACGATAAAAACCCCAATCCACACATTTCCTCTCCCTTGCAAAACTCGCTCGCACACCCGCCAAGTATCTCGCCGGCATGAGCCGCATTCGGACCCGAAATGGTCTTTTCCCATTCACGAGCAAAGACACACTGCTTGGTGCCTGGCGGTCAATTGGGTGTACCTGCGTGTGGCTTGCATTGCCGATAGATCAAAGTCGACCCGAAATTACCATTATGGACAAGACATCTCGAGGGCCGTATGTAGCATCGGCCTTTGCGAGGCGTAGAGCTCTGCAACAGGGCCGGCTGGTGCCCTTGGGCCTTTCGATGCCAGCTGCGCTACCAAGCTTATAACCTGAGTGGCTCAGGCAGGGTCGGCGCCTTTACAAAGAGGGGGGAAAGCGCACTGTGAAGGCGGAGAGGTTTCTATTGGAAGGATGCCTCTGCAGCATGACTGACACCCTGAGAGCGACGTTGTAGGACCGCCCGCCATCTGCCGCGAAACCTCGGGCGTGGCGTTTCGTGCCGGACATCTTCCGGCAATGGTGCTAGCCATGTCCGCATGCGCGCCTCCACGTCAGCGGCTTCGACGAGCGGGTCGACGGGCACCTTGATCAAACCGAACCGAGATATGACGACGGCCTCGTCTCGCGCTTTGGACGTCCTCCTTCCCCCGGAGATTCAGAATCCTGGTACCAGGTCGCACGCAAAGCCACGTAGCTGCAGACCATTCATCGTTTTCACATGTCGGCCCCTACAGGAGGTTACAGTAGCACAGACATTGGTTTTCGAGCCACCAAATAATTCCGCATGAGATGCAACCAAGCAGCCCTCACTCTTGCATGGCATAACCGCAAAAAGTGGCTATTCTCGAAGATAGGACCCTGTTTTTTTTGGTGGGTTTAGAAGGGATTCTAAAGGCTAAGCATGTGTCAGGCCATTTTCCGGTTATCCCCATAAAAAACAGTGGTCCTATCTTCGAGAATAGTGGGCAATTCCGCCACCGCTTGCTGCTGCGTCTTCTCTATAACCTAATCCCTTCAATGCACCTTGACCGTTTATTTATAACCCACATCCCGCATACCCTTCGGCAGGGGGAGGTCAGTGGGCTGATGGATACGCGGACAGTGCCACCAGTTCATGCACCCAGCTAAACGAAAACCCCGTTTGCGCTTCGGTAACATTTAGGAGTTGCCATGTTCGGGTATGTGGGAGAGCCGTCCTGTCGATGAGGAGCTCCAAGCAGGCACGGCACGGGCGCAGTGTCAAAGCAACGACAGCTTCTAGGTAAGTATGGGTTCCATAGCAATTCTGCTTGGACCACTGGATTGGGGGAGGGGAGGGGGCAAACCTACTGCCCAGGGTACCTGATTCGTGATCGAGACGTTGTAAGGATTTGATAAGACGCAGTTGGCGGGCCGGGGCGGCTCGGGCTTCCCGTCACACTGCCTGCCGTCAAATGCTTAGTCCCCCCGTCCCCCACAGCGATCTGGAGATTAGGCACTCCCGCGATGCCGCCCGCCAGGGCTATATAATATCGACGCCCCTTCCCGTTCGACATCACTTTCTTTCCTTCTTTTTTCCTCACCACGCTGAGTTAATCTCATCTCCTACTGTACTTTTTCTTGTACCACCTTTTCCTTTTGTGTCTCCTACTGTCAGTCGCATCTTTTGTCGCTTTCCAGTGATCTTTTTCTCTCTTTCTCAACTTCTTGTTTCTTTCTCTCTACCCGGTATCCCACCTACTCTCAAACCCCGTGCCAACCCACCAATCCCCCAAGATGCGTTACTCTCAGCTCGCCACCGTCGCCGGCCTGGTAACCATGGCCGCCGCCGCCCCGGTCAACGCTGATTCCGCTGCCCTTGAGGCCCGCTCGCCCGCCCCCGGCCAAGCCCCAGGCATCTACGTCAAACAGGCCCAGCTCATCCAAAAGACCATGAAGAAGAACAAGCAGAACGTCAAGGTGTACGAGGCCACCGTCAAGAACACCGGCAAGCCCCCCGTAACCTCCTCTTCCAAGCCCAAATCCAAGCCTGAACCCAAGCCTGCCCCTGAGCAGAAGGGCAAGCGCGACGTTGAGGAGGAGGCCGATGAGGAGGGCGTCGCCCTTGAGGCCCGCTCGCCCGCTTTCGGCCAAGCCCCAAGCATCTACGTCAAACAGGCCAAGTTAGTCCAAAAGCAAATAAAAAAGACCAAGCAGAACATTAAGGTATACGAGGCCACCGTCAAGAACACCGGCAAGCCCCCCGAGGTCTTCTCTTTTAAGCCCAAATCCAAGCCTGAATCTAAGCCTGCCCCTAAGGAGAAGGGCAAGCGCGACGTTGAGGATGAGGAGGCCGAGGAGTAGATACAGGGTAAGCCATATGTTCCTAAACCCCCCCTTCCTAATTTCCAACCGCCCGCCTCTCGATGGTGGCTAGGCTTTGGCGAGGGAAGAAACGAAAACAAAACGCGGGGACTAACTGTGTGTTGCAGGGTTGGATTCCATGCCGGGAGAAGAAAAGGTAGCAAGCTTATTGAGATTGCAGGAATAGATAGATTGTACTATACTGGTTTGCTGCAAGCGATTCATTTAACACCGCGAGGTTCGTTACGAGACAAATAAGACTAACTGTAGGGTATATGCGGCGGCGGCGGGCATTATTTGCCTGCTGCTCCTGCCGCAAAACCTCTGCAGTTTGGAATCTTTGTTGGTAGCTAGTTTAAATACTATAGCCGGATCTCGCCCACAACTTTTCCCTCCTGTGACACCTGCACTATTGTTACCGGAAAGGAATAGAAGTGAGACAGCCAAACTTGCTTGTGGAGGTTAAACCTAGATCCAAACCATCCCTGGGGAGTATCTGCACTATCTATGTACAGCAGGTAGAGACTGCAGCTACCAAGCGGATGCGGGAAGGCGTGCGTCATGGACCCATCCATATCCACCCACCACCCAGCCTTGTCAGCCCCTTGCATGTCGTACCGGGAAGCAACCGCAGGGCAAACGAGATCCAGATCGTGGGCGCGTGGGTGCGCCCGCCCAGGACTGAACGCATGCCGCTATGCAGGGTACGAGTTGACGAGCCTTGCAGAAGAAATCGAGAAGGAAGGGAAAAAAACGGGAAACAGATACCGCGCATGCAAGGCATACAGCGGCGCAGAACACCCACCCACCCGCCGGTCCCATAATGCTTCAACCCGTCATCTATGGTGCTCGTCCGCCTCTGGGAGACGTGTGTATACAGCAATGTACCTGCCTACGTATGTCTGTGGCTGACTCGACGAGGGAGCGGCCGCCCCGGTACGTTTGGCCCGGCTTGCAGATCAGATGCGAGCCAAAACCTTGTTTTAATGAATCCGCAAATTCACGGGCCCTCTATACTTTGTGGAAAAGAACAGGAAAGAAGGAGCCAGAGATCCGATCTCCTCCCTTCGTCCAAAGCTGCCGCACAGGGCGCCTTTTTCTTTCCACTCGGGGCTGGACTTCTTGTCCCACGATCGAGGTGGTACTGGTAGATGGCGTGTGTTTCCATCCCTTATTCTCCCCGCCGTCATCGTATACCCGCTGCTAGCTATGGGCGGCTTCACGTGGCAGCAGCGGTACCGGTGGGGGAGAGTGAGATATCAAAGGCCAAGCCGGGTGAGACTTGCGCTTGGCTACCCACTTGTTTGGAAAGTTGGAGGCTGTTTCCGTTGAGGACATGGAATTTGATGGCGGCGACGTCATGGCCAACGCTTGACATGCAAGGTTCTCCCGGCCGTTGGGATGTGCAGATGCCACCGGGGCGGGTAGCGGCCGATCCATGTCACTCGTCACTGGTGGAGTGCCATATTACTCGATCCTGAAATCTTTTCGTCCGTCTCCAACGATGTTGGCAGATCCGCCTCCATAACGGCAGCCTTGGCTATTCATGACAGCAGACAGGGACATTGAGAATATGAATGTTGGTGCCACCCGTTTGCCGGCTAAGAAAACCGCTTAACTACCCAGAGAATGTAGTCGTAAATGGGAAATCAAATGGGACCTCCCTCCCCCATCCATTGCCCCTACCCGGAAAGAAAAAAGAACTCCGTCGGAAGATAGCAAGCCCAGATAAGAATTGACAGAAACCTCCATTTGAACTTTACGTTTTTGCGCCGAGCCGAGCTAGATAAAACAAGAGAAAAGTGGCGGGCGCGGAAAGGTGGGAAACCAAAGACCAGGATGTCGCGGGATTAGAAATCCCCCCGCGTCGTTGCGCCATCAAGCATTAAGCAAGCGCCGAAAAAAAAAAAAAAAATACAATAGAAAAGCACGCAGACCGCCCAGCCGACAAAATCCCAAAAGGGTGGTGAATTCGTGGTGCATCCAATGCCTTCAAATATGGAATGTATTGGTGGGGTGTGGGGGGTTTTTGTGGGATTTGGTGGGTGATGGTGGGCGTGCGCCAAGGAAAAGAAGAAAAAAAAGGCCCCTCTCCCCTCCTCAGATATGCGCATAGGTGGTCATGTCGGTGTATCCAAACACGTCGAGCTCGAGGCCCGGGTCGGGTAGCCCGAGGGCGGCGGGGTCGGCGAAGGCTGCTATTGAGGCGGCGTACGTTGACGTTGCTGCGTGTTGTTGTTGTTGCTGCTGGTGCTGTTGGCAGTGGGGGTGGTGCTGGCGCTGTTCTCCTCTCCCTTCTGTTGCTGCTGCTGCTGCTGCTGCTGCCGCCGCCGACATCTGCTGGGCGGTCTTGAGCTTGACGTACTCGGCGTGCAGGCCCTGGTAGGCCTGGCTGAGGACGTCGTTGCGCTGCTTGGAGTCGCTCAGCATCTGCTCGAGGTCCTTTATGCGCTGGTCCTTGCGCTCGCGGTAGGCCCGCTGCGACGCCCTGTTTTGTGCTCGCCGGCGCTGGTTGTTCTTTTTGTCAGCTCGGGGTTCCCCCCAAAAGCGCGAAAGCGCGAGCAAATGGAAAGGAAGACGGAAAAAAAGAAAAGATACAAAAAATAAAAAAAATAAGAGCAAGACACAGAAACAAGGTAGATCCTTACCGAAAGCACAGACGGCGGGGCGTTCTTGTACCGATTCTCCCGTTTCCTCTTTGCGGGGGCCTTTGGCGCCGTCGGCGAGCCGTCGTGGCTCGTCGGCGAATCCGCCTCTCCCTCGCCCGCCTCTGGTGGGCTTGGGTACACCTCTCCCAATCCGAAATCTTGCAGGTAGGACATGTCGTACTGTCGGGATTTGGTTAGTTTTTTTTTTTTTTCCTCTTTTCTTATCTCTTTTGCAGCTTCTTTTCTTCCGCTTTACCCCACTCTCCTAGTTTTTCCAATCACGAATAGGCCATTCGAAAAAGTACAGCAAAAGAAACAATAAAAAAAACACACCTGCGAGTTGATGGGGCTTTGCGAATCCGACGTGTGCGCGTCCAGATACTGCTCTGACTCCTGCCCATACAGATAGTGGTAGGAGCTGACTGGTGATGGTAGGTCGAGCAGGGGGCTGATTTGCTCCATGGCGCCGTCTCCCTTCTTATCTGCCCGTGTTGTTGCTGCTGTTATTTCCGTCGCTGCTAGCTCGGCCGAGCTCCGCTGGGGGGGGGGGGGGGGGGGG